AAGTAATAATTTATTATATATATATATATAATATATATATATATATATATATATATATATATATATATATATATATATATATAATATACATGATAGTTATTATACATCTGAGCGGCACTTTGCAATGGTATTTATATTCCTTAGACCTTGTCCGGGGCATCCCATGAAGCTGGACTAGGACTATCGTCCGTACTCGCATGGTTTGATGAGGTGTCTACATTAGGTATTATGATCAAAGACAAGCAACACCGGCCAGGACAAAGCTTAAACCTTGAGATAAACCGGATGCCGGCCTTGCAGAGTGTCCAGCCGGGTGACAAAGTATGTGAGCGTGAAGCTCCCGTATACTGGTGCCCATTTGTCATTTTGAGATTTAGTATATGATTTGGGTATTAAAAACCGTTTTCACAACCATGCACATGTGAGAATTGTCGAGTGCGAATGTTGTGAGTTGCAGTATTTACGTGACTTACTGCAGGAACACTCGGAAAAGATATTCTGAAGATAAAGCGCCGACTTGTCTGCTGAAAGGCTGCGTTCGAGTGGTGCATTAGTAGCCATATATCATTCACGTGTGGTTTTATCGTTCGAGAATTCCGGGATGATTCAGCCTGTTTATTGAGTGAGACTGTACCTGTGGTTATGAAAGGGCTTTCCAGCGCAATTGTGCATAATGGTGATGCAATATACAGATTTCTCTCAGTGAGCCGGTCATCGTACCGATCTGTTCCGGTCGGTGCTTGCACTCGATCTATCCTGTTATCGAGGTTTTTGCAAGCTGACTATGGGCTTTCAATTGCGCGTTACAGGTGTACGTCAGATCCCGACCACGGAAAGTCGGCAAGTCCGTGGCATTCTGTGATCTGGAGTTGTACCGGATCCCTACTCCATCGTCTGGCACCGTGGACGATAGCCATGTAGACTCCGAACGGGAAGTACTGGCCACTGGCCGACACACTAAATATCTCGACATGGGTAAGGCGTGGGACGTGGCTACGCACCCTCTGTTGATAAGCACCGCGCGAAAGTATTCACAGCGCTACTTCGAAAACAACCAGCATACACCGGACGACAAAAATCCGTCATGCTCTGTAAAGGTAGGTAGATCTACTCCAGTTTGGCTGTGCAACGCTCGGTTGCTATTCTAACCTTGTACCGAGCACTACGCGGAAAGAATGTATTTGTATTTACATATATAGCTGTTGTTTGTGAAGTATGGGTGAGTGTGCCAACGGTATGCGCTCCCTTTATACCGTGAATTTTGTGGCTTCCCTCTTTCTATCATTGTTGCATTGTTTGATAATGGTATTAGGGTATTTGATTGGCTCTAATCTAATGAAGGCAGGTGCGGGACGTATTTGTACAACCAACTTGATGGCTTCGATTCTTGCTTAAAGGGGCGCACCGTGGTAGTAGTGAATTATACGACTTATTGCAAGATTTGGTTACGTGTAGCTATATTTTCATACACCTGGCTTTTGAAGTGTCACACTATACTCATTAAGCAATATGCTAATCCTATGTCTGGCATAGGCCAGCTTCGTCACAAGCTTGTGAATCAATGTAGTTTGCCAGACCAACGCCATATGTGATCGTTCTCTACAGTGTGGGAAACTACCTGTGAGCACATACATGCATTGCAATTATTGCGTTGCGTAACTCCAAATAAATTTTTAGTGCGATTTTGGAAATCCTCTTTAACTGAAGAAGCTGACGTGTGCGACAGATCGGACAGCTTTCCAAATTAATTGTGACTTGACATTGCGCCTTCTCCTCACCAGGGTGGCGGAGTTGATGTGATCGGAAGCACGTGGAAGGGATTAGGTTTACAAACAGGATCGCAGGTGAGAAAGTTTTCTGACAAGCCCTCTTTTGGGCTGACGATGACTGGATATTGAACTTGAGCTCATCCAATTGACAATATACGATGTGTATCACATAGAAGTAACTATCACCTGACGATATACGGTGTGTATCACATAAAAGTAACTATCACCTGGCAATATACGATGTGTAACCCATAAAAAGTCTTCTAGTGGCTCTCTCTGGACCCTCACTGGTATCTTCCATATACAATTGTATAAAGGTGCACACCACTCTTTGCATCTCCCTGTGTAAATGCTTGGTCACGCCGCTTGCATACATCGCAAGTGTAATGTAGACAGCCAGCTATCATAACATATACATGACTCACACGATATACTGCCAAACATGTTGTACGCAGGTCAATCCGATTGAAGACTTCCTAATGAGCTACCCTCCGGGCACACGGAAATACAATGCAACCCTCGAAGTCAGCGCCGCCACCCAGAACCCAATGGGCAACCTGCACGGAGGAGCGGCTGCATGCGCTGCGGAGATGGCCGTCGCATTGGCGCAGGATGCGTGGGAGCAGGACAGCACCACGTCTGCACCTTACACTCGCGAGGATTTGGTAAGCATGTCGGCGGATTTCATGCGACCGAGCAAAGGAAAGGTGTTAGTGCTAGTCACAAGACTATTCGAATCACCAGCCATTGAAGTGTCCTTCATCTCCTACAAATCGAAGGATATGGAACCTTCCTGCAAGGTCGTTTGTGTGATGGGGCAGCAAGGACGGAAGGATTAGACGGGCAAATAACATTTGTCTTTTGAGTTTAGAGTATCGCTTATGCAGCTCCCTTAGTCATAAGCTTTAACGGGAAAGCACGCCAGCGCTTTACGTACACTCTGATTGGTGTATATCGGGAAACAACAAATGCGATTTGACACGGAACGAAAACAGGTGATTTGAAAGTGTGCAACGGACCGTGGAAAGAGGCCTTAGCGCAAAATGGAACTGCGGTAGTCATCATACGATGTTATAGAATATCATTCTATTGAAGCGAACATGGGACATGATCTCCTCACAGGTGACCGTCTGTAGATCTATTCAATCTACTTATTTTGTATGTCAACGAACGCAACTCGAGAGTCCTCACCCTAGCTATCGGATTTTGTGGATAAGATATGCACATAAAGTGCTGTCAGAGATCATGTGATGGAGTTATTGTGTAGGAGGAGTGCATATTATTGGTACCAGTGCAGAGAAGTCAGACGCGATAAGGAGAGCGTACTCTGATGCTTAGGCTGAGTGCAACCGATATACACAGTATAGATATCTGGAACGACGGCACTCATAACAGTTGACCCTGCTAAAATAATGATAGCAAATACCTAAAAGACACTAATTTTGAAACAGAGTGGTTTTCTGTCTGGTGATTTGTTCGGTATTTTTGTGAAGGCCAGTATAAGCCGTAGTTGTGAGTTTCGCTACATATTCTTGGCACTCGCCCTTATCATTGGCACAGTAATGGAATCTTCAGGTGTTGCATTCTTAGAATTCTGTACAGCAAAATAGACTTTCAGTGCAATCGAACATATGCATGTAGTTGTGCATAACGATGCACATAACTTGAGTTCATGGAATACGATATTCGCTTGTGTTAAAAAACCAGTTGGGACACGTACAAGTAAACAGCATGCGCGAGTAGATGAATTTACGATATACATTGTCGCAATTTGTTCAGATAATGCATATACGATACACAGTCATAGTGTATCAAACTCACTTAATCAATACACAAAGTGCGACTGAGAAATCTGTTGGATTTAAAGTTCAAGTTATAGAAGGAAATCACATAACACATCATGCTACCATGTTCGCTTCACTATTTGTCTATTGATTTTATCTATAACTCATTTAAGATTGTAGGCTGTTGTGTAGAGTTCATGCAATAGAAGCAACGTCATGCATGTCAAGTACGCGAAGATCCTTGCCATTATGCTAGTTTGCATACAATCTACACGTCGACGCCACTTGTCAACTATTTAATTGGTACATTAACGATTCAACTTTATACGGTTGTTCTACTACCGCGACGACAAAAGCAATCATACAGACATTGAGCCAGCATTGTTGCCCTACCATTCCGTCACGATGCACAGTATAATTAAAACGATGAGGAACTATCAACAGAAAAATTTATACTAAGTCGACTTTGAGCACCTGTTTTGTCCGCAAATAACTGAAATGATTCGCCCCTCATCTACATACCCCTCGAGCTCGAGTGATAGTGGTGTAAATAAACCAAATATACTATGTGTGAGAAAATACAGTTGAATTTGTATATATGCAACACGTTACATAGGCACCAGGTGAATATCGCCCCCTACGCCGGACAACACAATGAATACTGCGGAGAAATTGTGATGAACATTTATACGAAATAAAAATGTGACCGGTGAAAGGATCGAACTTCCGGCCGTAAGGTTTGGAATCTTACGCTCTACCGCTGAGCTAACCAGCCATACAACATTTTCAATCTTTATAGATATATAGGACTGTAAAGACTTTAATATTTACTCATAAATATATTTGAGACAGCTATAAATATTAATAAAAACCCCAGTGTTCTATTTTCAGAAGGCTGTGCCCCATCACCCCTTCCTATTTATTTATCTCTAAACCCATAGCCTCCTAAAAGTAACAACTAATCCGCACTATTTTTGTTTGTTTGTTTCTATTATATTCTTTTTAAATAAATAAAATGTCGTGCATTCATTTCTTGCAACGAGGTTGTCGTACTTGTATTTATTTAGCTCATAACAAATACCACCTTTCACCATCACAAGCAAGAATATCTTTCATGTACGCATTCGACGCCCTGACACTAAATAGCTGAAGATATGATTAAATCACCGCGTATAGTCTGGCTTTTTTCAAAGTTACCTCAGCTCTCAACCAGCGAGAACTCCGTACACATATAATATAATAGACTATTGTCTGGTTACTTTCGAACAACTGTTTCTGGAGACGTGTATTTACCTCTTGTCACCAACAGTAGAACTAAATATAAATATATGCGCGATACTTAAAATTCAGAACTATACATTATATATTAGCATTTAAATCTCTCTTCATGGCTGGTTAGCTCAGCGGTAGAGCGTAAGATTCCAAACCTTACGGCCGGAAGTTCGATCCTTTCACCGGTCAATTGTTTATTTTTTATTTTTTTTTAATATATTGGTATCGGCCATAATTGACCTGCCTGACGTTCACTACTGTTCCTTGGTGTTTCGACTCATCCATATGTCAGCTAAGAATCGTAAAGGTTCTTACCGACAGACTCTTTCTGTCAGTCGTGAAGGTGAGTTATATGTACACCTCTCAACGACCCGTATGTGAATTGACCCTTTAGTATATGGATGCCAATTTTCCATCAATTCGCGTTTCTGTTAGCTTCCGCTTCGCCTTGAAAGCTTTCTATGTCATTTGTTACGGTTCAACATGCATGCATATTGCACCGATTTGATGACTACAAATAATACATATAAATATAAAGCAAGAATCAATAAAGATAAGTGGATTGTAGTATACAAAGGTTATCGCTGCATATTCGGCCCTTAGCAAGTTTAATTGTTGGACTTATCCTGCTAACGGCAATATTGAGCTGTATCGATTTGACTATAGTATTATTCCGCAGGAATGTCAGAGCCGTACTCGCTAATAGGCACCTTGTACCCATTGGAGGCAAGTTTTATCTGTTGAAATACCTTTTCATGAACAGATATCTGAAATGACACCACATGCAGGGTATGTATTTAATTATTTGACTTATCCTGTCAGCGGCAATGGAGAGCTGCATCGATTTAAGTACACTATTCGGAGTATTGCTGCCTACAAGTTGAGCAAAATACGGCTATTTGCCCGTTTCGCAGGAACGTCATATGCCAGTGCTCGCTAATAGACACTTTGTATCCAGTGGAGGAAAGTTTTACCTGTTGATAAACATGTCAAAAACAGCTACCTAAGCATGACGCCACAGCCGGGGTATGTCGTGAGATTTTATGTATACCAATGACGGCGAAACATGTAGAAAATAGTATCACTAACTTATATATTTTTTGTCGCGATTTAATATCTCCTTACGGTGGAAAATTTGTAACTGGAATATTAATGTAGAAAAATATTTTTGTTATATCTTGAGAGCCACGTCAGGGTGCCCGCTAGCTGTACATATGTTTGATTTTACATGCCCACCCGCTATCGTAGATCATAAAAGGCCACTTCAAATTCACAAATTCACAGCCACTGAGAATTTGTTGTATAGTAACCTTGTGTAGGACAGTGAGCAGGTTTTACAAAAGGGAAAACAACACATTGTTGGTATGGATTCAAGTAGTATTATATAGTACGAATTCAAGTAATATTATATAATACGAATTCAAGAATAAGTATACCTGACTTTTGATAGTATATGTATATAGAGCAGATATGTAGGTTCCTTCTTTGTTGCACGAGTTTGGGTAATTTCAACAGTTGGATCGAAGGTCAATTCAATCACACTCAAAGTTCTGTAGCTGGAGGTGTATAAAGCTTGCGTGAGTCTTACTCGTGTCACTCATCACTAATTTGGTTGAGAGTGGAGCTACTAGCAACTCTGGGAATATGGTCAGATTGGTAGAAATTGCATTCTTACAGCAGTCACTGATTATAATTTCAAAAAGTAGAAAGACTACCCTGATAGAAAACTTAATTGACGAATGGCGGTTTTATGTACCGGTCGAAGTACTAAAATCGACCAACAACGTGTCATTCGCCTACCAATTTTCGGAAGTATACCGGTGTTGTATATTTGCCGCGAAATTGTACATATTTGAATAAACGTGGCTGAGATATTCGAAGCGGCTTCAATCTTTGTTTATACAGTCTAGGGATAGCGAATTGATACAAATGTTTGTAATTTGAATAATACTGAAACGTACTTATATATTTATTCAATGTTGATCGCAGCAGTCTCTATACAGCAGTGTATACGAACACGTAATTTGTAATTCATACTCTATAGCTTTATCTATCTCTATTCGTACATACACCTTACTCAGCCAGTTCTACGTGGTGACATTCTTTGCTAACATTGGCTGACGCTTATGTATTTACTTTCCTCTGTATACGCAGACATACAAGAACAATCATTTTCAATGATTCGATGTATATATATAAAATATAATTTAAACTCATATTAGCTACTGTACATCCAGCGGTTATATCCGTATCTAAGAAAACGTAGCTTGGTAGAGTTGAGTGTCATTAGTGGCTTCTTTGTCAGTGAGTAATAAATATTTGCAATCACTGTTCAAAGAAAAGTATGTTTCGTACCGGTATTATTTTGCATCAAGCATGTGAATGTAGCCTAGCATTCTACGTTAACGAGCACACATCAGAATCTAAATGACAAAGGGGAATACACCACCAACCGACTAAGATATCATATTCTGGAATACAGAAAAGGAAAGAAAAGCAAAGTTCAATTACTTGGCACTGGAATGGGCTATCATTATCAAGGAATTAAATGTGATCGAGGATACTATGGGAAATAGAGCGTAAATAACTTATTAATACTGTCTCACTGGCAAACAAACGTCTTCTTATCTATATAAAGTCCGTCTAATTAGGGTAAATATCAAAAGAAATTAAGTTTGGTTATAGCCCTCGGTATTGATATGGGAATTTTAAGACTGAGACTTTTGTCTATATAGGTCCGCTCCTATCACTCACTACTTCGGTCTATACTTATTTCAGGTCATCAACAACTCAGATTGAAGCGATATCGATTGGCCGCATCCATGCTTCAAATCTATCGTTCAATCATAAACATCCACGGCGTCTTCAAAAATCAAAACAACAAGCTGGTGCTGGATTTCCGCTGAATCTCGAACCTAACCACTAGGTAATTCTCCACTCATTTGAGACATAGACACGCACATCTAGTTGGCTGGCCAGAAAGATAAAGCTTGTCCAATTTCACAGTGGAATATTTTGCTCTGATAGTATTTGATTATAAATCAGTCTCCACTTGCTGCCGGAAACCTTGTCTTCTACATATTTAGTATTTAGTAGAAAATTACTACTTTCAGAATAACCAATTACAGTCCATGATAGAGCATCCCTACATTAAAAAATACTATACGTCTTCAAATAGCCAAGTTTGCATAGTTTGATCGGCGCTATATTTCCTTTACGTTTTATGTATTCCGGATTTTGAGAGATATTCGTCCCAACAAGGTGTTCGATAGCGCGAAGCTCTCATAATTCACGCCAGCACATATACCACTCTATCTCATAGCAACAACCGTCCACCACCTGTATGGCAGTGATGACAAAGGCAGTTGTATTGGAGAAGCTCTGTATTGGTTGAGAAAGTTCAATACTAGTTGATATATTTAGAACAGACAATTATCATTCATTCCAACATGATGTCCGATAACTCAGAGCTCTTATACTGTACACCAACTCATTATTTTCTTAGGTCATGTCATCGACCATCCACCAGGTACTTGACAATGATGACAAATGCAGATGTATTGGTGAAGCTCTTTACCGGTTACGTAAGTCAAATACTAGCTGTTTACTTAAACTGCTTGCGTGCTGTTTGTATAGTTATTTTGCTATCATCATCCTATAAATAGTAAATATTAGTAAATCTATAAATTTTTACACAGCCAGATTGTCGTGCGATGATCGATATAAGTTTTTCAATAAAGCACCCAATTACAGCTCTCGGATGTCACGATGTGTTATACATTAGCTGTCCCCTGAAGCCGTGTTCTATCGCAACTGGATGTCCGACGACATAAATCTTATATTTCCACGATGACTCATTTTTTAAATTTTATGGCCTGAACTTTTTGTCATGTGGTTTTAAGCCAGATGGTACATCACGGGAATGTGTTAGAAAACGATGCTAAGTGACATAAGCTAAATACAAAAATTCCAAGAGTTCAAATAAATCGACAAAATACATTAGATACGTCTTCTGCTATATGTTTAATGCGTCTGTCAGGGGTCTGCAAAGATATACCCGTTGACAGATACCAAGCGCACACTTAGCTGCGGAAACGCAAAGCTTTCATACAGCTGGGTTGTTCCCAGATCGTACAATGTGGTACGCAATGTAGATTTGATACAGTTTCGATCAGCAACTATTGTGTCTATATATGTAGTATTAGTTGTGATTGGTCAATCGAGTGCGAGAGTCATATTTGCATATGGTAGTATATACTTTGTCGCAAATGAATTCCCGTGCAGTCACTATCTGCCTGAACCCCTCATAAGTGACGGTCACGGGTTGTGTTCTGTTCCCACCTGATTGGCATGTGCGTTGACTAAATACTGTCGCATCATACAGGAGTTCGTTGGTAGTTGCATCTGGCAAAATTGTGATTGGATCCTATTAGCGTTTTGCTGATGTTTGGCGGTGACACCTTTGTGATTAAATGCTACTTGCAGACTAATGAGTAAGCTGTTTGAATATCTGGATCAGTGGCATATGAAGAATTAGCATATTGCTGAAAGTCTTGAGAACGAAAACTTGCATACCTCTGATTTTCAAGTATGTTGTTGAATCCAACGTGTTGGTTCTGTAACCAGATAGGCGATCAGTGCGGGTGGTGTGGGCACCACAGTGACCCTTCACATCATGTCACGGACCTGCATTCATCTTTCACGGACTCCATGACTCTTCAACCTCTGTTTTCTCTGCGGCCTCTAAAGTTGGAAATGTGATATCTGCAGATACGTGAAATATGATTATAACTTTTACACTTGTGGCAAATGAGGTCAGTCGAGGCGGCAAATGCATATTACAGGGTTGTAAGCGTGGTAGGAATAATATCGTTTATTTCAAAAATGATAAGTTACAATGTATGTATGTTACAATAGGCGTGGTAGTGTTTAAAAAATGGGCTTTGATTTTAATGGCGGTCTGTCGTGCATAGGCCGAAGTTCTTTTGTAGCTTTATGACATACAAGTGTTAGACAGCTGATGATGAGTTATTTGGGTGATATAGTCCTTGTGGACAATACCGGTCAAGAAAGTGAGTTTTTCGGAGTTATAAAGAGTGCTATTCATATTGTAACCTTCGACAATATTGCACTCAAGCGGAGAAGAATGTAGTACCTCTGCTCATCACCACGTTGTCAAATGGTGCCAATTTCCTGTGTACCTTCTCCTACATTACTGTAGTTATGATACAAAAGAATATACACGATCATAGGAAAAAATAGTTTGCAATGCGTCGCCAATACAGTTGTAGAGTCTTTCCAGTTCTGTCGACTTTCCAAGCTCGACTTACGTCTTCGAATGTGGGAGGTTTCATTTTGCTGTAGATCATTTCGCTGTAGATCATTTCGCTGTAGATCATTTCGCTGTAGATCATTTCGCTGTAGATCATTTCGCTGAACTGTTCGGAGCGTCAGATAACAATATGCTCCATGTGTAAAATGTAGAGAGTAGCTGAAAAGATACGACCAAAGGAAGGAATAGACCTCTACTCAAGTACGAATATCTCAGCTAGGAAAAGTCCACAGTTTGAGATAACCGAACCGAGTCTTTATTTATGTTTTCTATTTCACTAGACTCGGGTTTCTACTTGAGTGTTTCTCTCTCACGCGGAGTCTTGATTTACATTCTCAGCTGTAGTCTATCGCTAATATTTCTGATGGCCCTACTATCAAGAATTATTTGGAACCGGACCCAAAACTCCGTATTTTATCATTCTGAGGTTTTGGGATTTGGATTGGCTTTGTGATAATCTGGTCCCTAGATGCTACAGCCCCCCTACTTTATGGTTCTCAGCCTGCGTAGGAGTAGAAAGTGGCATCTTACAGTACTAGATTATCTAGAGGTTGGTTTTTCTGTACAGGGAAAAACTCGTCCCTTAAGGGGTTAAGATGAAAAACCTGTCACCATTATCTATTCTTACATATTACCTATTAACTAATTGTACTATCAAGGGAATTCTCAACCACACCCATCGGAGTCAGTCTTGACCGGTGCTCTCGGTTGATATCAACTTGGCCCAAGAAAACGCATCTCAACGGTGGCTCTACAACCGAGACTTTGGTCCTTATTTCTCTGGTATGTTGGCGGAGCATGCTTCAAGGTGAGAACAAGGGGAGTGTCCCTAGGTATCAGTGAGACTTGCTTATATCCCCCGCCTCGTGCGCTTTCTGTTGCTCCATGACCTTTCTTTAGTGCTCATTGCTGTTGATTTCGTCGGCCTTGATTGCCCTCATTTGCGTCGAGTGCGTTGACGGTATAGTGTAAGAACATCAGCATCTGCGATGTCTGATTCATGCGTCCAGGTACGCTCTCCATCTGTCCATTGCAGTAAGTACCCCTGGGATCCATCACCTCGGATGGACGGCCTGTGGTCGAGTATTGAGGATAACTGAGTCCTCGGTTGGTTGTACGTGACTGTTGGAAGTACATGTTTTTGGATCATTGGCCATTTTTACGAGTCCAATTAGCTTATCACTTACCGAGTTAGATTTTTCCGAGGATTTAGTCCCATCTAGGTTACCAACAAAATACCCGTTGACCTTCCTGCATACTATTTTTTTATGGCCCGCCATAGAGTGCTGTCTTCTTGTTCATTTCACCTTGTTGATAGAGGACAATGACAATGTCCCCTTCCTGGAGGTGTACATACTTCTATTGTTCTTTTCGGTCGTATGCTGCGCACATCACTTGATATTGCGCAGCACTAGTCTAGTTATGGCCTAGTGGCCTGTTCTAGATTCTGTAGTCGCTGTTCCCAGGATACTGTTGTACTGGGTGCGTTCACTGCTGTGCTGTAGTCAGCGAGTTGGTTTTTTCTGCATCCATAGTACACATTAATTATAGGTGATTTATGTTGTTTTGATCAGCACAGGCTGTGACCCAGTTGTAGAAACGGAAGTCGAGAACACTCAGTTAACAGATTTTCTTAACAACGGTAAGAGGTCTCTATGTGATCGCTCGTTTGCTCCCAAGACTTAAGGTTGTTACGGGCGAGAGACTAGGTGCAGTGTCAGCGCTTGTTTAATGACTTTTGAGAGTATATCATTGAAATGTCCAGTGTCTTGTTCTGTCTGTATAATTTGTGGGAACTCATGTTCACACATTATTGGTACCAGTGTTCTTACTACAGGTGCTGTTGATTTGTCCATCATTGGTCTGAGTATGACATATGATGAGTTTACATCTAGCCACACTAACACATATGTGTGACCTCTGTTAGAGTTCAATAGTGGGCCTATGGTGTTCACTTGTACTATGTCGCCTTGGAATGCGGATGTGATTGATCGTAAGGGATAAAATTACTTTCTGTGTATTTTATTTTAAGACACAGTACTCATTCTTCAACGTATCTGTGTACAAAATTTTTTTTTTTTTTTTGGATTTGTGGCTAATCGTGTCTATCTGCTAGCAATTTGTTTACCGTTTCATCTGCTGTGTATTGTCCCAGATTGTGGTATTGCTCGATCGCGTGGACGCGTGACTTGTATTAGGTCTCATTCGATTTATCCCTAGTGTTTACTGCTTGTGATGCTGAGACGTGTATGTCGGGTTGTACCCGTCTTGTGTCAAAGTAAGGAGATATAGCTCTTACATTTGCTACCAATGTGACACCCCATGAGGTCTCGCCACATGCTTTCGAGTCTTCTTTATGGAACGTGTTGTTCGTGGTTTCCACCAGCATCGGGGTTTCTTCTAGCTAAGATAGGAGTTTAGGAATCCACGTTGTATTTGGGTAATATGGAACACAAATCGTGATGCTGGTTGCCTCTTCAATGACGTTGTCGAAGACATCCGGCATGAGTTCCCACGGCGGGGTTGCCCATACATTTACTTCCTGCACCCACTTCTGTAGGAGCGCATTCGGTTCCTTTGTGTAGTATTCATCTGTGTGGGCATTTTGTGCAGATGCAAATAGTTCTACTGTGAATTTTACAAGCCGCCTTTTAGCTTCTTTGTAGGATCTGGCGTGTAGCATTCATTATATAGCTGATATGATTAAGGGCATGCTTGTTTCCAAGGCGGTGTACTCTTGACTATTGTGTGTTATTTTGTTCGCGTCTTTTAATACCTCCGACGTTTTGGTATTGAATGTGTCATTCCTATCATATGGTTGTCCCTGCATGGGACATGGATGATGGAGGAATGGCGGTGGGATATTTTGTAATGTTCATTTGCGTGAGCGCTTTATGATCTCTCCATAGTGTTATGTCCACTCGTTTGATGTATTCGGCGTATTGTTCCAGACTGTATACCAGTGCTAGTAGTTCGTTAGTGTGTGTGCCATAGCATTCTTGGGCTGGGTTCAGGCCTTTAGAGAAGTAGAGAATATATTTTCTGACACCATCTATGATCTGGAATAAAGATCATATGCCGTTGTCACTAGCATCGTTCATGATTTGAGACGACACCCCATCAACTGGGTATGCTAGTGTCGCCGAATACACGATGGTTTCTTTGAGTTCTTCCCACTTCTTATTAAATTCCGGTGTTCATAACATAGATATGTTTTGGTTCCTTTCACCTTTCATTAGGTTGCAGAAGTGTTTAGTTGTGTGAGCATAAGTTGGGGACATGGCCACGCGTATAGTTTGAGAGTTCCCCCGCTCTTTGCAGATCTCTTTTTGTTCTGGGTAGTTGCCAGTCCATCATTATTTTCTGTTTTTCGGGATCAGCTTTGAGTCCTTGTGTGGCGACTCCCACCCCTAGAATGTTGTCCACTTTGACCGTGAAGGCACATTTGTTGTGGTTGAGTCGGAAGTTTGCTCCATTCAACCGTTTAGATACTTTACGTACTGTCTTGCCCTGTTTTCCTTCTTTGAGACTTGCAATGACTGTCATCCACACACACTTGCACTTCTTTAGTTAATCAAGTGGCTTAACTCGCTCCCGAAAGTTGCGTTAATACATACCCGACTCCCGAGTGCTGGTTGAGTTTCTCAACCGACTCTCGAGCGTTGATTAAGTTTGTCAACCGCTATATTATAAAAATAGCTGCGTCTTTACGATACGGGAAGACATCATGTGATCAGCGTGAGATTTAGTTACAGAGAAGTCGAAATAGAATAGCATCGAAGTGTTAAGTGTTATGGAGAAGATTCCTCATACTGACAATATGAGTTTTCGCCCGTGCCAGCCAAAGAGGCTGAACACTTACACAAATACCTTAGGTATAAAACTAAAGGTGAGGTCAGAAATAAATACATGCATTTTACTTTATTCAATGTCTACTACATTACACTTTAACAACTTATCAGGTTACTCTGATCTTGCGCTATCAATATGCCTACTGAGAACTCTAAGGATAGTAAGAACACCACTATTCTCGGAAGGAAGGTCGTTAGAAAACTCAGACCATCCTATCCGTGAATTGTGAAAGAATACCAACAATATTGACCTATCCGAGCCCGTCTAGAGGCAGGGCTTTAAGGTTTTACGGTTTAGAGGGGTAAAAACACACAAGGATATAACTGAGACAATTGTCAACCGCACCTTATCCCCACTACTACAGACTGAGATCAGCCAATTCATTGATAAGCCGTGGGAAGCTTTCGCCGCACTGAAACGAAAGTTCGAAGCCCTGACCGAAGATGATATCCCGACATTAGAAGGAAAAATGAACCGCATCACACAAGAACGGAACGAATCTTATGCCAGTCTTATCAGTCATCTCAACATGTCATTTGTAAAATTCAAGAACGCCGGAGGTTCGAAGACCAATAACAACCTATGCGCTATCCTATGACAGGCTGTAAACGGTAATAATCAGACTGTTAAGATCACGTTTGAAACACCCACTATGATGACAATGCCGTATGATGAGCTCACCACGTATCTCATCGTATTAGATTCCGACGAAAGTGACCCATCTACCATTGTGCACGCTGCACATGCAGCTATATCGAAAGGAAATGGTGCATTTTGCAACAATCGTAGACATTCTATCGGGCAATACCGCAAGCTACAAGCAATAATCAAATCGTGTACCACTGGTAAAACACGTAATCAGGGTCGTGACCATGACGGTCGCAAACTTTACGATCGAAGGATTGACAATTTTGTTCCTCGTCACGACATGAGAGACTACAGATGGATGTCCAAGAATAATGGCAAGCATAGCCGACCTGATTCAGATCGTGGCTATACATGTAAATAGCGATACAACAGAAACAACTCCTACCAATCCCGCTATGATAACCACGATGATCATGACCGACAGGACTACCGAGTAGATGAATCCAATCGACGCGACTGCACTGATGGTAGATATCCCCAGTATACACGACGTTCACAAGACAGTGACAAAAAATACCGATCCCAGAGCAATCGACGCCAAGAACATGAAGGCAGACAGGGCAAAGCAATGTCAGCGCAAGTGTCCGATGGCTACCTACTAACGGACAGATTGCATTCTACTAACGGACAGATTGCATTCTCCGCAATTAACCCTAGAATCGACAACAAGGATGTGAACGATCAGTTAAACATAGATTCAAGAGGTGGGTACTGACTAGCTTGTGATACTTGCGCCACCATACATGTACTTCCATATTTGTACCACAAGCATCATCTCGTCCGCAACATGTGCATTAATGACCGGTATGCGCTCGAAGTAGCTGATGGTACAATCATTTGTCCGAAGTTTGTAACTCAGCTAGAAAATCTGGGGGACGTATTCATCAATATGACATTCACAACTGCACTACTAAAAGTATCAGCCTGCTCGCAGCATGCCACTGCTCATTTAAATTCACCAACAATATGATATACATATTGCTACCAAGCTTTGGAACCATAACAGTACGTGAAAAGCACATAAGATACTGTGTGCACATCGACGACATAGCTATGACTACAGTGGAACCATCGCTGGAGAAAGCCAACCAGATTTCATGGCACAACAAGCTTGCGCACCCCAGCTACGTCCCAAAAGATTTGCCCTACATAAGGCAACCAGAGGAACGATGCAAAGCATACACTATTGCTAAGAAGAAGAAGAAGAACACAAACAAAGAACGACAGCACGAACCTGCTACCGAGCCTCTCGAGTTAGTCTTCGTGGACATAATAGGCCCGTTCGCAACGTCAATAGGATCCAACATCCACTCTGTATCAATCATAGACGACTTTTCTAGCATGACCAAAGGTTATCCGATCCGCGGTCTGAAAGCTACAATAATTCTTGACGCTATGTTACACATTCGATGAATGGTATATTTTAACTCGTAGCCGAGTTCGGTGCATACAAATAGATCGAGGCTCACAGTTTACAGCAAACGTAACTAGGCGCATGCTTGCGTATTTGAGATAATGCTCAAGGTACGTACCTACGGCCACGCCACAATATCATGGCAAAGTAGAGAAAAGGCATGGTACACTGGTCCCTAGAATACTTGCACAACTGAAATACGCACGTCTATCGACTACTAGGTGGGCTGAATTACTGATTTAAACCACCAACATATACAATGCTATACCCACCAACGAGAAGAGCTTATCCCTATACGAGTAATTTACAAAATACGCATTTCCGATAGATATGATGAAAACATTCGAATATCGCATCGCATCAAGAACCGTGATCCAGACCGCAAACTTGACGATAGAGCACTGAATGGCATTCTTCTTGCGCAACCTTTGGACACAACACCGGACTCGTATCGTATATACTCACCTCTGAACAAGTGTATAAGACAAAGCCGAGATGTCTATATATTCGAAGACGAATTCTTTGTCTGGGAAAGCGATAAATGTACAACCGCTATCGGACCACCAGACACTACGAACAGCAGTACATTCCTCCAAATTAAAAATGGCGATTTCCAAACAGACGCAAGGACAAAATATCGACAACGAAAGACATGCTTAGCCAACGAGCGCAGTCAACTGTGATGCAAAAGTCGAGCAGCACAGAACAACTACAAATAATTTCATCGTCAACACAACAACTTGTTGAGAGCGAAGCTCATATCGGTGAGTCGGAGGCTCCCGCAGTGAAGCAATTATAGTTAAAAGAATAGCAAAAGATCGTCAAGTCTCTCGAGAACTGCGAAACCTTGCGATGAGTGACAATAATGTCGACTGGTATCATCATGACAGACACCGAAAGAGTCGATCTCCTAGACTACGCACACTGTTATCTCATCGACAGAGAGATATATGCTTAGCCAACGAGCCCAGCCAACTGTGATGCAAAAGCCGAGCAGCTCAGAACAACTACAAACAACTTCATCGTCAACACAACAACCCGTTGAGAGCGCAGTTCATAATAGTGCGTCGGAGGCTCCCGCAGCGAAGCAATTATAGCTAGAAGAACGGCAGAAGGTCGCCAAGTCTCTCGAGGACTGCAAGACCTTGCGATGAATGACAATAATGTCAACTGGTATCACGGTAGCCGCCGTAAGAGACGATCTCGTAGCACTACGCACACTGTTATCTCAGCAACTTCAGCAATGGAACCGAAAACATTCAAAGGTATATATGAGATTCCAAACGCAACTGATTGGGAAGAGTCAGCACGTTCGGAGATGGGGAGATTGGTGATACAGTGCAAAAATCACTATCCCACCTCGGATGAATCAAGAAAGTCACACGACTTAAATCACGTCTGAACGTAGCAGCATTGAACGTAAAACAGGGAATCGATTACGATAAAGCTATGCCCCAGTAGTAGTCAAGGAACCACTCAGGTGCCTAGCTCTCATGACACACTACGACATGAACATTCGAAAATACGATACAGCTTTGGCCTACCTCGCTCAAGAATTGGATACCCCTAGCTACATGCGAGTGATCTCATTAAACAATTACTTGACAGACAATTATATGAAAGGCACAAACAAGGAGACACAAAAGTCAAATGTCAAGTTGACCGTTGCGTATACGGTTTACCACGTAACGGGCGCTCTATTCTTCGGTTTGCTATATACCACGATTATAGACAAGCACAATCGAATGGAGCACTGTTTAACAAACAAACACACAGTGGAGTTTGTTTCATTTTTGTACACATAGACGACCAGCTTGTGGCACACCAGAGTAAGACTGACGGGCAGAAACTAGCTGACGCAATGAAAGACAAATAGAACTCTTTCGATATGGCCATACTTTTTGGTTTCTCAGGTGCGAAGTGGAATACACTCCGGAAGAGTATGTCTTCATCAACGACAACACAGAAGAGAAATATTGCAGGACACAATGGGGATTAATAGACTGTAAACCAGCATGGGTGCCAATTCTATAGTTGGACTATAAAGTAACAGACAAACACGCATATATCCCAGAAAAAGCGGCAAGCTCAGACGTCTCAACAATCACACAATACAACAAGCTAGTGGGTCAGCTACGATACCTTGCAGATCAAACACGAGTTGTAATATGCTTTGCTGTTTTGATCCTAAGTCGCTATCTGTCAGCACCACAGTACCACCACGTCAGAGGTGCCAAGCGCTGTTTGAAGTATCTCGCTGGTACTCAAGACTTCGGTCTCGAATACACAAACAAAGATATATTCCTTATCTGAGTGCATATAGTTGCTTCGCTAGCAATGACACAACAAGACGATCCACCACCGGGCGGGAGGGCATTATAGCAGCCGCACCGTTTATGCGGGGAACATATTTGCAACGGCTAGTATCAACTTCTACAGCAGAGGCAAAAAACGTCGCACAGTCTGGTACTGTTAAAGACGCAGTACGGGCTAAGAAACTCTTCACGGAATTCGACAATCCGCTCGTCGAACCTACCACCATAAAACAGAACCTAATGGGAAATGGTATCACGAAATCCCGCCGTACCAAACATTTCGACCTATGATATCGCCACATCAGAGGACTCACAGCGAACAACACCATCAAGGTAAAAGAAAAATACCATCAGAGCAGCTACTCAGCGAAATTTTCACGAAGCCTCTCAGCCAAGAAAAGTTCACCGATACACGCGACCGACTAATGACTCGGATGCCAGTATCAACTTGGTTCAATGCATAATAAAGGTAAGTACTTTAAGGTAAGCAGGTGCCAAATGCTTTGATTTTCTATTTATGACTGCGTATTATATGTATTAATAAAATTATAAACAATGTACACTCGTACACTCAATATGTATATCTATGTATCTGTTTACATACTTGTTTCTGTCGATAGACACCCAAGTATTTACTCGTGAAATATATATATATATCCCTATCGTGTTCTATGACAACCCCTTCCCCACCCCCCACTCACTTTGTACTTGCGAGTACTAAACGTAAACTATTTTTTTAGTACCATGCAGCCTGACTTATTGTCCTTAATTGAGTACTTCGTTGGTCGATTCGATCAAAAATTTATCCTGTTTTTACCGTATCCACGGTAAGAATAGGAAGCCGGACCGCAACATAAGAGCCTCGCATTCCCAGACCCTAAGGGCAGTCACAGCCTCTCAGTCCCAGTCTCAGGCCTCACCCCAAAGTCAAATATGAAAACCGCGACGCAGAAAGGAGCTTACACCAAGCATCCGAAATTACTAACAGTATGTACTGACTCTGTAGTCAAAACCTCGAGAATTCCCTCCCGTGCAAAATCGCGATGCCTGTCAGCCTGTCACTGTACAGAGGATCGCCAAACCTACAAATACCTACAAACAATTTGATATTTTAGAGGTTCACTCCTTCTGTCTTCACTCTTCAGCCTTCAAGCTACAACCAACGAGAGAAAAACAGACTTGTTTCAAAATTTCAGTCTTCACAGCCCACACTACAGACTCCAACTCTGACTGTAAAATTGAGGGGGAGTAAGAGACTATAGGTCTCAGACCAGATTTACAGCAAGAAGCCCTCTTTAAATTCTAGAAATCATTAGATTAGGATCACTCCCGATAGCTAATCAAGTTGCTTAACTTACTCCCGAGAGTTGAGTTAAGATGAAAAAAGCCAACACTTCTTCACATTCTCGCGGAGAGGAGCGCAACACACATTCAAGTCAGCGTCGTTTGCCATACACACACTCACATCTCAATTTTAGAGAGTCATGGCAAGCTTTCTCATGAACATCAAAGAGTGCAAGTGTATGTGGATGACAGTCATTGCAAGTCTCATAGAATAAGAACATCGCAAGACAGTTCGTGAAGTAACAACATATGTGCCTTCGCGGTCAAAGTGGTCAACATTCTAGATGTGAAAGTCACCACACAAGGATTCAAAGCTGATCCTGAAAAGCAGAAAAAATTGATGGACTGACCACTACTCGGAACGAAAAGACAGGGTGATGCTTCAGTTTGATTTGCGTACAACGTGCTCTCGATTCCGGTGTATGGCACGGCCATACATGTGGTTCATGTTGTGGTTAATGGACACATCAATAAACATCAATAAATTGAATATATAAGTATATATCATGGAGATGATTAAAGTCATACAACCTCAACAGGACCATATCATAGAGGATACGTTTGGGCTTGGCTTGGCTTGGCCTTGAACTTGGAAAACTTAAAACTGTATTGCATTCGCAGTATGTTTACACTGAATGTCAGTATATTGATAGGCGCACTTGTCTCAATGAGCTTAGATGTGCCGCATAGGAATATAGTATTAAATTGCTCTAAGCTCCAGAATATTCAGTAAATCAAAATTCATTTTCTTTTATATTGGTACGTAATGGATGAAATGTTCCCGCACCTATTGCACACACTACCAGGCGCACGGTCCCAGTGCAATAAATTGATCCGTTATGAACTCCATAGTGCCAATGAACTGTTAACACGGTGATGCGTTGTAGTAATTTGATTAATTGGCTATAGCGGCAAGCAGTATGATCAAATGAATCGAATATAGAGAATGGTGCGAGTGTAAATATACATTCTCCTAGCGATAATAAAAGGTCTGCATACAGACTACAAGGGCGATGAGAAGCACGACCACAATAGACCAAACAACCATCCTCGGGTTGATTTTCTCAGCGTAAATTTTCTTAGTATTTCAGAACGACCAATCTACTTGTCGCACTAGATGCTCTGTTTGAATGAATCTGCTCTTTTTGATACCAATGGTCGTCCGGCAAAATCGATCTCAATGCCATTAAATAATGTATCTCCTCAGGTGCCACTCTGACTCGATTTTTTTTCTCCGACTTTTACGCTTGTCAAGTGCAAAAGACCTATGAAAGACACCTATGAAAAACAATATGATATGTATAAGCTGAGGAACCTCAATGACAAAAAGTTTCTGCCAGTATGTCTATTCCTGGAATTTCCGTACAGAGTGAGCTGCCGTTTGGGGGAACGATTATTGTAATCGATCTCATCGATATGCTCGCCGGCATTTGAATAAGAATTCATGTTCTATAATACCTTTCGAAGATGAATTTTGTGATCGAATTCAATTTCAATGTCGGAGTAGTTCGCCAGAATGGTAGCCATATGTAGCATTCCGATCCAAAGATATAACAGGGCCGATTCGACATTTGGTTGCAATCATATTTTTCGAATCATTTATACTACTTGAATATGAGTTGAACGGGTGATTCTAACCTCTCATCTTCACATTCACCGATCCGCTATATGGGGCGGTGCTAGCAAAAGCAGATTTGTTTTTGACGAATAGACCAGAAATCCACATAAGTAGTTGTAAATCAGATTGGCAAGCAATGCAGGTTAAACAATCTGAGTCCAGATACACCAATTATTTATTAATTGTTAGGTTGTGCTAAATTCGTACTGGTTGTATATATCTTCGAATAAAGTGGAGACATCGATACTCGCTCTCAGCCGCGCACAGATTAAAAAGGCCCCGGACAGCTTACGGTGCAGCGAGTAGGTTTCTGATAAAGAGATAAAAAGCAGAAAACAAATTAGTCAGCAAATTGGAACGAAGTATATCGCACTATCAAAGTGATATCAATGTGCAATGTAATACACAAGGGAACAAACGCGTTCACACGCAATTGGATGCTTTCGCCCACCAAGGACTTCATTGTACACGAATACGAATCTTCCATCTCGATCGATTGATGAAATCACAAGAAGTAGGAGATTGTGAACCGAGAGCTACATCCGCTCCTTTAGCGAGGACGCGCAACAAAAGCGTTGTGGTGTTGAGTATATCACAGGAATCCCTGCCAGTGCGAGATAGATCAGTGATCTCATGGGGATTCGAAGTTAAACTTGGGATATAATACACCTTTCAGTAGAGCACGGTGCTTCAGAAAGTGAACTTTATTAAAAATAAACATTTGTTTATTCACTGGTATGACGAGCTTCCAAGTTTTGTAAACGCTTGACACGGTGTTGCCTCACGCACGCCATTTTAAATGGTACAACCAGAATATTCGAGCGGAAACACTGAGCACTCTCAATTGAAGTTAAACACAGTACATACACGATGTTTTAAATACATTGATCACTATGCTGACCGAGTGTCACGCGAAGCTGCACATCGCACACCTAAAACTGTGCATGGAGATAGTCCCGTGCCAACAAACTATACAAAACACGCATTACAATACACCAATCACTCACGAACAAGACAAACCACTCACACCATATATTGCACGTGCACATTGCACACACACCTTGTGGGGGTGGTGTCAGGCGATGCTTCAGCATAATCGGGATGAGCTCGTTGATACGCCGGGTGACGTCCTGGCCGTGGAAGTCGAACTTTCCTTTGGCGGCAAAGGGTTCGCCTGCAGTGTGCGCGTGGGAGTATCTGAGTGCTAGAACCAGAGCTGGTATGTTGTATAGTGTGTGCTCTATAGCGGACGTGACATTTAGAGAGTACGAACGTGTGTAGAATGCAGTGTGCATGTTTGACAATGACAGTGTGAGTAGCTGAGGGTTGTAACCTGTGCGTGCGTTGTTGGCCTGCTCCAATGCTGAAGTGTATGTTCTTGTACCCTGTCTTCTGTCTGTGTACTACGCTTGTCTCCCATGCCGAGTAGTAGAGATGCCGATACTAGTGTATGGGTAGCGCAGTCTCTATAGGCGACACTTCCTTTGACTGTAGGACACATGAGCACAGGCATGAAAAGAGAAGATACACCATTCTACTATTAAATCAAATGGTCATACATAACATGCCCACCATACACATTTTCCAATAATGTGTGCATATATCGAAACAGCTATCGATCAGTCATCTGAGCCAAACGCAATTCAACCAAATTTAAGTACTTGCGCACAGGGTATGCGGGCTGCCATAGATCTGTACTCGCTGGCATGTGCAGAAGCACAACTATACGCTAGTATACTTGTCTAACCAGTCGACAGCTATGTGTATCTGCACGTAGTAAATATATAATATATAAATGTGTGCATGACACGGCCAATTGACATACATGCAGTTGGCAATTGAGAAACATCCTAGTATCAAAAGACGAATCCCATGGTTCTTCAATTTCATTACAAATCCTCTAGACATTGCTCACCAGCCAGAGCCAACCAATCAAACACAGGAACGGAGAGGCACTCACGTGCCACATAGATACGTCATGTGCCACACAGATTCGTCACGTGCCACACAGATACGTCACGTGCAACACAGATACGTCACGTGCAACACAGATACGTCACGTGCCACACAGATACGTCACGGGTCACACAGATACGTCATGCGCCACACAGATTCGTCACGTGCCACACAGATACGTCACGTGACACACAGATACGTCACGTGACACACAGATACGCGACACACCCAGAATCAGCACAGCTGAGCAATGTGCGTCCACCATAAGATCGGCTTCAAACCCTGTCAGATACCCCAGTTTATGCGATGCATCTACAAGGACAGGAGAGCAGTTATAACGTGTATGTGAGGAGAGCGACGAGTGAATACATTTGCCATTAGCTGCTGAGAGAGCATGCGATAGCGATACATCGATAAGGGGCAGGCGGTATATACACGAGAAACAAAATGATCAAGTTCAGCGGTTTGTAGTCAATCCGTAGTCAATGCTACAGTGTGCGTAGTGAATCGCTGGTGATGATAAAGTGCCGCGCATATACTAGTGTTGCACGTGGTTGAAGGAAGTGTATAGGCAATCAGCGATCAATGCAGTACACACAGCCACAGACCATTTGCGGAAAATTGCACCGGAACCCTCAGCTCAGGAGTATGAAGAGGCCAGGATACGTATAGAAGCAGCTCTCTATGTAGGTACAAGTGTAAAGCTGCCACACACGCAACGCTGAGACACACACGACAAAAAGCAATCAGCACACGTGCATGAGGAAAAGAAGCTCCGTGTTTTTTTGGGCCGATGTAGAAGTGGCCTGCGATTAAATGCCCTAACAACGGGGTATTGGGTAACCTAGAAGTGCACACAAGCCTCTTTATAACACAACCAGGCGAGTGCACCCCAGGGTCTCCCGATGGTTTACAGCTGCAACAACATGCGTGACGGGCTCCAACAATCTCATCAGGGTGCGCGCATGCATTCACGAGCACGCGCACTCAGAGGGACAGAGGCGTGTACATACCAGCGATACCCTGCTTGTTGTTGTCAGCAGCCGCTTTGATGACGCGGAGGTACTCATCTATGAATTTTGGTTCGTATCGCCGCGCAGCGCCGAAGTCAAGAAGGTTGAGCTGTGTACACAAAGGCGAACGTAGGTTCAGCCACATACACAGGAGGATTTAATGTTGATACGTGCTTAGGGATACACATTATATAACCATACAATGCCAATATATACAGGTTTTCGAATTATGGGGCTGGCACTGGCAAATCGAGGTTGCCTCGAAGTAGGTAGAGAACATCGGGGATACATAGACGGTATATAAACCTTCAGGTGCAGATATTAATAGGAACTTGCCACGCACAAACAACACATATGGCAACTATGGTACTCGCAGGAGTAGACAGCAGAGTGCTGATACACACGTCAAAGTAAATCTGTAGTGCAAGCCATTCGCACACACGCATTGCACACATCTGTATTCCAAGTGTATGTGGTGCATATGCAGATTGCAAACAGCGACACAGAGACATTGTATGTACCCAAGCACATGAATAGAGGCATGTACAGGCAATGAAATACCCGATGTTTCACAACACAACGAGAATTGCACAATTCTCACATAAAAGTGTTGTCCCTGCAGGAACGCACAACATAGAGGTGTCTACACATGTGGCTACGCCGCTAAACCAGACACCACAAGTAGTGCTACTACGTACAACCTACAATATCAGCAACACAGACACTCAGCAACGGCACAGCACCTGATCCTTGTGTGAATCGTACAGGAAATTGGCCCAATTGGGGTCTGTCTGCATGTAGCGCCACTCGAACAACTCCTTCAAACACAGCCGCATGACATTGTAGGAGATACGATTGCGCACATCCTGCGAGAAGTCCTTCGCCTGTTCCAAAGGCACTCCATCGACGTACTCCATTGTAAGCACCCGATTGGTGGTTAGTTCGTGATCAACCAATGGGATGTGATAGAATTCGTCGTCTTTGAGCAGAGCGCGGAAGTTCTCCATGTGTTCGGCCTGTGAAGGGATGCCATGTGATGAGCAGCAAGCAAGTAATGTTGGGCAAGTGCTGGAGGCAAGGCCAGACACTGCGATGATTGAATGCACGATTCGTTGCATATACATACGCAGGAGAGACCTCCTCACACTCCAAACAGATACCAGATACCTTGGTGACTACCACGGTAACAAACAGGGGTACTGTCTCTCTCATGCATGGGTTTTAGGGGTTTAGAGAACATACCTCTTTGAGATACTGGCACTCTTCCACCAGCTCATCTCTGCTACAGGTGATGCTTTTCTCTAAGAAGGCACCTTCCGGTAAGGCATTGGTCATCTTCAGTAGTCGAAGTAATAGTCCAAAGTCACTGTCGATCGAGTCCGCTATACCTGGGTACTGGATCTTGACTGCCAGTTTCCTGCATATACAGAAGGACCCAATACAATACATATGATAAGAGCACCATAATTATGCATAGAAGCACGAGGAAACGCTCGAATGCACCGTCATACTCATACAGCACCCGTACCCATTTAGATAAACAAGATGCAACTCAATACAGCTCACATGCGCAGTATTTAGATAACAAGAAGAAACTCAATACAACTCACTTACGCAATATTTAGATAACAAGAAGTAACTCAATACCACTCACATATACACACATACACACCGGCCATCTAAGCTCTGCGCACGATGCACTTGGCCTATGCTGGCAGCAGCCATAGGCTTCTCCGCGAAGTCGCTGTACCTCTCCCGCCAATTCTCTCCCATCTCACTGGACAGCACATTCATCATCTGATCTGCGGGCATAAAGTCGGCACTGAGCCGCACGCGATTGAAGATGGTCTGGATCTCTGGGGCAACCATAGTGTTGTCTTGGATACTCAAAACCTGCGCGTGTACACGTAAGAGACCGTATATTCGTTGTTAAGCTGCACTGTGGTGGTATGCATGAACCCCTTCATGAACACTGGGAAACAAGTGAATGCATATGTAGTGCACAGCCGCCACGTGTGTTTGAAACGCCTCGCTCATCTCGCACATGGCATTGAGGCTACGGTATGTATCCGTCGGATGTACCACACAGTTTACGCACAACACAGAAGAAACCACACACCGATATACAATGCAATCATACCTACACACCAGGACAAAGACGTATTCCATGCATACACAAGGTCGTTAGTACAAACAGGCACACAGGGTGTTGGTACATGTGCGTACAAGCCCTACCTGTCCAAGCTTTAGCGCCGCACCCCTCATGCGACACAGCGTATTCACCATAGCATCAGCATTCCTCTCCGTCATCACTCGTGACCTTCGCCGGCCTTCCACAGGTGTAGCTGACCCCATACCAACGCTCTCCTTGACTCTGTCTGTCAGCATGTTCGTACCAATCCGTGTGAATAGTCCTGTGTCGCAGGGGGTAAGTACGGCATGAGATACAACACCATAATCGCACCTAACGACGGGAGTGTATGGGAGAAATAGTTCTTGACATTGACAACAAGTGCACGGAGACTGACCACTAGAGGATGTCAACACCAGCGATGTAAACAAGAATCTGAACTTACAAGAGACGAAACCATTCATACGTATAACCCTGGAGAGGTGATTGATAAATCCCATTTTCATCGGAATAATGAAATTCCCAAAAATATCATACATACGCTTCATACAGACGTCGCACTGTAGTATAAGAGAATACACACACACACACACACACACACACACACACACACACACACANATATATATATATATATATNTNTATATCTATATACATATATATATATATATCTACATATATATATATATATAGTAGTACGGAAC